GTTAATTTGGTCTCTTTATAGTCATAAAATTAATTTCGATAAATTTCGATAAGTTCAAAAATTTTCGGTGTTTGATAAAAATTTTTAGCTTCTATTAACGATTTTGCTATCTCTCACCATCATAGGCTCAATAAATAAGAAAAAATTGTTGGAATTTGGATAAATAAATAAATAAAATTCGTTTCGATAAATTTCGATAAATTAAAAATTTTCGGAATTTGTTAAAAAAAATAGCTTCCATTATTGATTTTGTCATATATACCCTAACACTAGCCTCCATGAAAGTAAAAAAATTATTTTTTATTTATTTATTTTATTTTTTTCCCTTGTACTTCATTTCGATAACAACCGATAAAGCGGCTATTTTCGAACTCTAACGTACATTTATTGAATTGTTATTATAGATAACACTCCGGTTCTTCAGAATCGAGAGAAATATTGGTGATAATTTGAGCCTTTGGTCTGTAATATTGGAGTTATCGAAATTTATCGAATTTATTTTTTATTTATTTATTTATTTATTTTTTTTTTTTTTGTTAATTTTCAATTTTTTTTTTTTTTTTTGATATTCCCCAATGCCTCAAATGGCATAATGCTAATGTTATGTTATTTATTTTTTTATTTTATTATTTTTTTTTATTTGTACTTCATTTCGATAACAACCGATAAATCGGCTATTTTCGAACTCTAACGTACATTTCTTGAATTGTTATTATAGATAACACATCCGTTCTTCAGAATCGAGAGAAATATTGGTGATAATTTGAGAATTTTGTCTGTAATATTGGAGTTATCGAAATTTATCGAATTTATTTTATTTATTTTAATTTTTTTTTTTTTGATAATTTGAATTTTTTTGATAATTTTAATTTTATTTTTTTTTTTTTTTTTTTTTTTTTTTTTTTTTTTGATAATTTTAATTTTTTTATATTTTTTAATATTCCCCAATGCCTCAAATGGCCTAATGCTAATGTGACCGATAACCATTACAATACTTTAAATGCCGTCTACCGTTAGCTATTCAAAACAAAATGACCATTAAAAATATCCATAAAATTTGATGAGTTTGACAAAAAAAAATATTTATGATTTATGACATTTGAATGAAAAAAAAAAAAAACAAAAACGTGTTTGGCAATTTAATTGTTCGAGAGATGGCCAAAAGAAACACAGATACTGAAAACTTTCAAGTGTTTTCAAAACGAAATCTTAATTTTTGTTTTTCGTTCATGGCATTGAAGAGCTTGAGAAGCCCAAAAAAAATTAGAAGATTTCTAAACGTCAAAAGCTCAAGTGTTGGCAGCCAGCCTAAGCTGGAAATATATCAAGCTTCTTTGGCTGAAAATTTTGCTACCAGTATTTGGCTGTCGTTTTGCCCAAAAAAACACAAACTACCGTTGTCGTCATCATCATCCTCCTCATCATCACTCACTCAACACCCGACACCAGTGTTGACGTTTCTTTTGGATCTATTTTTTTTCTTCTTCTTCTTCTTTTTCGTTTCGTGGTTTCTTAGACCAAAAAGCCGTCGACGAGTGCAATTTATTTGCCTTAATTTGGTAAAAGTTATTTTGCTTGTCATTTGAAATTTATGATAACACGCATTTTAGCCAAACAGCCGGGCAGTTAACCAATGTTTTATGGTGTTAAAACATGATGTTGTTGACATTACCCCGCCTTCCACACAACCCTCCCCTCCCTCCACCACTCTAACATGGCTTACATAAATTAAAAAAAAAATAAAATAAATAAAAAATTGGAGTAATATAATAAATCAATACAAATTGCAGGAAAAAATTGAGAAGGATATAAATAAAGAAATTTTAATGCCATGTTTGAAAATTGTCGAAAAAAAAAATTGAAAAAAATATTTTTTTTTGAATAAGTCTGAATTCTCTTACTCTGAAACCATTGCAATTTTTTTATTTTGTAAAATATATAAGTTATCGAAAATTATCGAAATTCTCTTACACTGGAACTATTGCCAATTCTTTTTTTTTTTTTTTTTTTGTAAAATATTAAAATTATCGAAATTGAAAAATGGAAAGCCGAAAGACCAAGAACTTGATTTTTTAACAAAAAAAATTAAGGTCCCCTAGGATCCGGAACTATTGCCAATTTTTTTTTTTCTTTGTAAAATATTAAAATTATCGAAATTAAAAAATGGAAAGCCGAAAAACCAATGACTTGATTTTTTAACAAAAAAAAAAAAAAAAAAATAAGGTCCATAGGATCCGGAACTATTGCCAAAAAATCTTTTTTTTTGTAATATATTAAAAGTTATCGAAATTGAAAAATGGAAAGCAGAAAAACCATTGACTCGATTTTTTAACAAAAAAAAAAAAATTTAAAAAAATTGAGATCAGATGGGATTTTAAAGAACATTTTTAGAGGATCCTGGGAGGCCCCAGAGCTTAAATACCTTAAGAATTTTTTTCAAGGATCAGTAAATTCCCAAACCTTATTTTTTGTAAATTTTTGAAGCACCTCTTAGCCTTAGGCGTATTTTTATAAGACAATTTTGGATATAACCAGTGCAATTTTTTTTTTTTTTTTTTGGTAAAATATTAATGTTATCGAAAATTATCGAAATTCACTTACTCCGGAACTATTGTCAAAAAAAATATTTTTTTATTTATTTATTTATTTTTTTTTTTTTTTTTTGCAAAATATTAAATTTATCGAAATTGAAAAATGGAAAGCCGAAAAGCCACTGACTTTAGAGGATCCTGGGCTCCCCCAGAGCTTAGAACCTCCAAATCAATAAGTTTTGACAAAGTTTTTTTTAGAGTCGAAAGACCCCCGAACGCAGACTAGTGCTAGTCAGGTGATAAAATGGATAATATCGGCCCACGTCTTTTGGTACCTCTCACACAAAGGGTTCAAAATTTTAAACAATTATATCTCTTATACGATTCCTTTCAAATTCCACAAATCCCAATATACTTACTAACACAAGATCTGGTGTGAAGATACCTCTGGTACCTCCCCCTACAAGGGGGTTAACATTTTGAATAACCAAAATGCTCACAAAATCTGGTATAAGCATCTTATTCATTTCAATCTTTGTACAGCCTATTATTTCTACCAATCCAAGATCCGATGTGAAGACGGGATATCCTCTTCATGTACCTCCCCCACAAGGGGTTAAATTTTTGAATAACCTTAACGCTCATAAAATGATTTATAAGTATCCGATTCTCTTAAAATTTCACAAATCCCAATATTTTTACCAACACAAGATCTGCTGTGAATATAAAATATATCGGTCCATTCCTTCGGGTATCTTCCCCACAAAGTGGTCAAAATTGTGAATAAGTAAAATGCTCATAAAATGCGAAATAAACATTATATTCTTTTCGAATTTGATAAATCTTAATATTATCAGCCAAACAAGATCTTATGTGAATATAAAAGATATCGGTCAAGTCCTTGGGGTACCTTCCCCACAAAGTGGTCAAAATTTTTAATACTAGAAATGCTCATAAAGTTCGAAATAAACATTCGATTCTTTTCAAATTTCACAAATCTCAATATTTCTACCCAAACAAGATCTGCTGTGAAAATAAAATATATCGGTCCACTCCTTCGGGTACCTTCCCCACAAAGGAGTTACATTTTTGAATAAGAAAAATTGCTATAAAATGCGAAATAAGCATCCGATACCTTTCAAACTTGGCACATACCAATATTTCTTCCAATACATGATCTGCTGCGAATATGAAGTATATCGGTCGACTCTTTCGGATACCTTCCCCACAAAGAGGTCATAATTTTGAATAACCAAAACGCTCATAAAGTACGAAATAAACATTCAATTCTTTTCAAACTTAGCAAAAATTCCAATATTTCTACCAACACAAGTTCTGGTGTGAAAATGAAATATATCGGTCCACTCTTTCGGGTACCTTCCCCACAAAGGGGCTAATATTTTGAATATTTTAAATGCTCATAAAATGCGAAATAATCATCCGATATCTTTCAAACTTGGCACATACCAATATTTCTTCCAACACATGATATGTTGTGAATATAAAACATATCGGTCCATTCCTTCTGGTACCTCCCCCACAAAATGGCCAAAATTCTGAAAATATCCAAAATGCTCATAGAATACGAAATAACCATCCGATTCTCTTCAAATTTCGCACATTGCAATATTTTTACTAACATAAAATATGGTGTAAGGACGAAATATAACGGCCCACTCCTTCTGGTAGCTCCCCCACAAAAAGTTCGAAATTTTGAATAATTATAACTCTCATAAAATGCGAAATAGGCACCCTATTTGCCCTTAAAGCTCTTTAAAGTCCACATATTCCAATATTTTTATTTTTAAATGAGTTTCCAAATACTAAAAAAAAAAATATTAGGCCTTTAAAAAAAAAAAATGGACCAGTTGAGCTCTAACCCCTCAAAAAATTCATTCCATAGTTTTACGATGAGTGTTTTTTATTTTATTTTATTTTTTTTAAATATTTTCTTTCAATTTTTTTTTTAGTTTCTTTTTCTTGATTGCATTTTTTTTTTTTTTTTTTTTCAATATTTCTTAAAAAAATTTTCTCATTTTTAAACGGCATCCTTATGTCTTGTTATCAACGCCCTCTGATATTTGACGTACTTGACGTTGGCTTTTTTGGCCATAAAAGGTAGGCAGCAGTCACTGGCTTTTTAATGAATCTCCGGCACTTTCACTTGACTTGGCTGATCGTTGAGAGTTTTATGGTGGATTTTTGTTAATAAAAAAAAAATATTACATTTTTTTTTTCAATTTTCGAATTGACCTAAAAATCGCTCATTATTCCGCATTGAATGTGAAACATGTTAAAGCCATGGCTTGTCATAATTAAAAATGTGCGGCATAAACCAGTTTGGGTTTCTTTTTCTTTTAATTTCATATTTTTTTTTTTAATTCTGCATTTTTTTTTTACTTCAATTTTTAGTTTTGCTTTTTTTTTAGAAGCCAATAAAAATTAAAAAAAAAAAAAATAAATAAATACCGATATTTATTTTTTTCTCAAAGCCCTTATCGCATATGGAAGTCACACACATACACACACACACGTTGGTACGTCAATTCTCGGTTTTTTTCTGACCCCGTTTCTTTTATTTTTTTTCTTTCTTTCTTCTTTTGTTTTGTTTCACATCAAAAAACACACAGCGCCACCTAACGTACGCACGCACGCGTTCGCTGTGAAAATATAACTGAAACTGGCCAAGTGATCGCGAGCTGTTCGGAGGCTCTCCAAAACAGTGCTGGCCTGTCAAAATGGTAGCAACAACAACAAACATCAAGAGTAATGTCAGAATATAATTGAATGAATAAATGAATGAACGAACGAACGTACAGACGGAACGGAATGATCATTTTTGCTCGCATCGACGGGGCTACATAAAACAACAACAAAAACACCACCACGAAAGAAATTGAAAACTTGCAATACCCCAACACTCTCAGACCACAGAGCTTACAACAACTTGTCTCCAGAACAACAAAAAGTCGACGCAAAAGACTAAAACCGCAAAACTAAATGCATTGGAGGAAGCTTGTTCTACAACAACAACAACAGCAGCAGCATAGGGAAGGGAATGGAGGGAAACAATCATAAAGGGCTGGTCGGCACATTCGACTCTAAACGTGACCTACGGCCCAAAAAAAAATCATAGAACGGATATGGCATGAAATTTTAAATTGGGAGAGAGAGAGAGAGTGAGGGAGCGAGAATGAAAGAGAAAGGAGAGTAGATGTTGTTTACAAATATTTTAGAAGGTGGGGGGAAACAAACATAAAGGGCTCCAAACGTGACCTACAACCCAAAAAATCATAGAACGGATATGGCATGAAATTTAAAATTAGGAGAGAGAGAGAGAGAGAGTGTGATAGAGAAAGGAGAGTAGTTGATGTTAACAAATCTTATAGAGCTCTTTAAGGCATTCAACCAAACACTCCCTCCCAAACATTAAAAGGTGAAGGAATGGAAAGTGGTTTTTAAGAATATTTTTATATTTTTTAAAATAAAATATAATAATTTTTTTTAAGAGTTTAAAGAGTGTGTTTGAGGAAAATCCCAGAAGATTTTAGAAACCAGAATTAAATTAAAAAAAAAAACTTAAAAAAGTAATAAAAATTTTGATCTTTTTGCGGGGGAGGTACCAGAAGGAGTGAGCCGATATCTATCATTTTCACAGCACATATTGTATTAGTAAAAATATTGGGATGTGTGAAATTTGGAGAAATTCGGATGCGTATTTTGCATTTTATGTACTTTTTGATTTTTCAGAATTCTAAACCCTTTGTGGGGCAGGTACCAGAAGGAGTGATCCAATATATTCTATATTCACATCATATCTTTTGTAACTCGCAATAACAGAATATGTGAAGTTTTGAAAGAATCGGATGATTATTATACATTTTCTGAGAGTTATAATTATTCAAAATTTTAATCCCATTGTGGGGGAGGTACCTGAAGGAGTGGGCCGATATCTATGATATTTACACCAGATGTTGTGTTAGTAGTAATAACAAAATGTGTGAAGTTTTGAAAGAATCGGATGTTTATTTCGCATTATATGAGAGCTATAATTATTCAAAATTTTGGTCCCTTTGTGGGGGAGGTATCGGAAGGAGCTGGTAGAGATCTACCATTTTCACAGCACAAATTGTATTAGTAAAAATATTAAGATGTGTGAAATTTGAAGAGATTCGGATGCATATTTTGCATTTTATGACCGTTTTAGTTATTAAAAATTCGGAGCACTTTGTGGGGGAGGTACCAGAAAGAGTGGATCAATATCTACCATTTTCACAGCACATATTGTATTAGTAAAAATATTGGGATGTGTGAAATTTCAAGAGATTCTGATGCTTGTTGTTCATTTTATAAGAGTTATAATTATTCCAAATTTTGGTCCCCTTGTGGGGGAGGTACCAGAAGGAGTGGACCGATGTGTATCATTTTCACATCAGATATTGTATTAGTAAAAATATTGGGATGTGTGAAATTTCAAGAGATTCTGATGCGTATTGTTCATTTTATGAGAGTTATAATTATTCAAAATATTGGTCTCTTTGTGGGGGAGGTACCAGAAGGAGTGGATCGATATCTACCATTTTCACAGCACAAATTGTATTATTAAAAATATTGGGATGTGTGAAATTTCAAGATATTCTGATGCTTATTGTTCATTTTATGACCATTTTGGTTATTCAAAATTCGGAGCCCGTTGTGGGGGAGGTACCACAAGGAGTGAATCGATATCTTTTATTTTCACATCAGATATTGTGTTGATAAAAATATTAGGATGTGCCGAGTTTGAAAGGAATCGGATGCATATTTTGCATTTTATAAGCGTTTTGGTTATTCAAAATTTTGACCTATTTGTGGGGGAGCTACCCGAAGGAGTGGATCGATATCAACCATTTTCACAGCACATATTGCATTAGTAAAAATATTGAGATGTGTGAAATTTCAAGAGATTCTGATGCTTATTGTTCATTTTATGAGAGTTATAATTATTCAAAATTTTAACCCCTTTGTGGGGGAGGTACAAGAAGGAGTGGTTGGATATCTAACATCTTCACACCAAATATTGTGTTAATACCAATATTGGGATTTGCTGAATTTGAAAGGAATCGGATGCTCATTTCGCATATTATGGGCGTTTGGGTTATTCAAAATTTTGTCCCCTTTGTGGAGGAGGTACCAGAAGGAGTGGATTGATATCTACCATTTTCACAGCACATATTGTATTAGTAAAAATATTGAGATGTGTGAAATTTGGGGAGAATCGGATGCTTATTTCGCACTTTATGAGAGTTATATTTATTCGCAAATGTTGACCCGTTGTGGGGGAGGTACCAGAATGAGGGGTCCTCTATATTCTATCTTCACACCAGACCTTGTGTTGGTAGAAATATTTGGATGTGTGAAATTTGAAGACAATCGGAAGCTTATGTTGCATATTATGACCGTTTGTGTTATTCAAAATTCTGACCCCTTTATGGGGGAGGTACTTGATTGAGTAGACCGAAATTTTCCAGTTCCACACCTAACCCAGCACTGCTAGAAATATTAGGATAACCAAAGTTTTCAAAATATTGGATAATCCTCATAGTCATAGGGCTGAGGTTACAAAAATTTTAAAAAATTTAGACCTTTTCAAGAAATCCCATCCACAAAAATTAAACGGAGAAGGCATCAAAAAATATTTTTTGAAAAATAATTTTCATTTTTTCAATATTTAAAAATAATTTAAAATTCAAAGTGTAAATATTTTAAAATATTTATTTTTTTTATTTTATTTAATTATTATCTAATATTTAATATTTTATTGAGGGTGGCTGTTAAAAATCCTACATCTGCTTTGTTAAATTTTATATATTTCCAAATGGTTTTTTTATTATTATTTTTTTTAATTTTTATTGAGGATATT